GTATAGGTTGTTATGGTTTTGGGTCTTCGGGTGTGTTATTCCTAGGGTTCTACCTATTGGTCTTTCGGTGGGTTTAGGGTTGCGGCATAGGTTGTTATGGCTTGGGCGCTAGGGGGTGGTGCATGGTTAGAAAATGGAAATGGTCATTGCTAACTTATAACCTTATATGATCCCTATATAACCCTTATAAATCCTTACCCTAAACCCTAAACTCTAAACCCTAAACCCTCATAAATTCCTTATGTAAGCCAAGGTCAACAATGCGCAGCGCTGCGGAAGGCCAGGTGCCGAGGCAGGAAGCTGAAGCCACGAGTTTCCCGGAAATGGTGGGGTTAAAAGGGGTTAAGGGTTTAGGGTTTAGGGTTTAGGGTGGTTAAAGTTCAAGGGGTTATAGGGATAGAGGGGCATGCTTGGGGGGTGAATGGGTTTAAGGCTTAGGCCTGAGGGCTTAGGCTTTCTGAAAATGAGGGCCCCTAGAGACCATAGGTATGGATAGGTATTCAACAGGGATTTCAGCCTAGCGGTTTCTTCAAAGGTTCCAGGGGGTTCTTTTGAACAACTTCCATATACGGACTTTTCTTCATGATTTCTGCTAGTACGTACCATTGTTCTTGTGACGGTCACTTCACGAATATAGTGCTACCACCGTTACTGTTGTGACAGTCATTGTCACGGTTGCTATTGCTATTGCACACGTCGTGTTTGGCATCATGACCACTATGACTTTTTAGTGTTAATTTTCATGCAGTTTTGCAGTCTCATTTTCGGGGTGTCGAAATTGCCACGCAGTCTATAGACTATACCGGTTTTTCCGGGAACATGTTGGTGTGAAGCCCTACATCTATTGGAGCCTGCGGGAGCAGAAGTGTTTTTCAGTAGGAAGAGCGAACAGAACATTTCAGGCGTGCAGGAGTTGCAAGTTGCAGGGCTTCCTTCGCCCCAAACCTTGAGTTTCAGAACGAAGACGTCTCAAAGCAAAACTAGCATTCCCTGATCCCATAAGGCCCGGAGTACTCCAAGCATGATTCCCGATTTGTCCTGATAGTCTCCTGCCGTTTTGATGCACGCGTACCACTCGAAGAACAGTTTGGCCAACGCTTTTTCGATGGTACTAGAATAGGCGCATTTCAAGTTTCCCAATTTGGAGGGATTACATCCCCAGGCTTTAAGGCTTCAGCCTCAAAGCCAAAGCCTCAGGGCCTGCATCAGGACGGGTGCCAGAGGGTTGTCAAAAAGACTTAACCCCTACACCTTAATTAATAGAGTTGCCGTTTTGTTTTTCGTTGTTTCGATATAATTCCTATATAGCCCTACATTTTACAACCCCATATAATAACTCTTATATAGCCTACATAACCTATATTCATTCCTATATAACCCCTAGCAGAATCCTTATATAATCTTCCATAATCCCTATGCAACCTTCTATAATACCTATATAACCTTACACTACCTTAGTATGTCTTAAACCCTAAACCCCAAAGATCGTCAGGTTGTGGAAGCCTTTGAACTTTTTGCCTGGGTCAGACGTCCGAGGGGTTAAAAAACATCGTCATATACCCTATATAACCCCTATATACCCTATTGTAATATAGTAATACAAACCGAATATTATACCCTACTATATACCACCCTATATTGCCTTATATTACCCTATATTACCCTATATTACCCTATATTACCATATATATCCCTATATAACCCTATGCTATATACTACCCCAACAGAACCCCAACAGATCGTCAGGTACTGGCCCCGGAGGTGCAGAGCCGAGACATCCTTATGGGGCCAAGGCCTCAGGCCTGTAAAGGACCTTGGCTTAGGGTTTGAGGGTTTGAGGGTTTTAGGGACTTAGGGTCTGAGGGTTTTAGGGATTTAGGGTCTTAGGGTTTGAGGGTTTTAGGGCTTCAGGGACTTAGGGTTTTAGGGTTTCAGGGATTTGGGGTTTGAAGGTCTTGGGTTTTAGGGTTGTTGTGTTGTAGGATTTAGGGTTAGGGGTTCTGGGACAACCAAATGGAGAACAAAATGGACACTTGGGTGTTATGGTACGGGGGCCTAGACCTAGACGGTTTAGGTTTTGAGGATTATCTTTGTGTTGGACCATTGGTAGGGAATGAGAATGGAATATCGGGATCACTGTTGATAAATGTCCAGGCACTACTACAGGGATCCATCCGCAAACTCCCTACGAACCACGAGTAAGTTGCACTGAGAGGAGTTCATGATAATGTAAACAGTGCGGGAGGGCGCCATCAATCGTGTTTTTTCTTGTGCTTCAGCTTCTGATGGCCTTTGATTGGCAACTGGCCATTTGGGGACAGCTAGCCCAAACATCTGAACGAATGAGGATTGTAGGATTTTGCTGAGCCTCAAAGAGGTCAAGACGTGCAAGGCATCTCTTTGGATTGGTCACCAATCTGCTGGACTGTCTCGAATTGAAGGGGTTCGTCAAAATGAAGAGGCTCGATGTTTGGTAAGTCCTTAGGAGTCTCATATTCTGAGGGCAAGTGCGAACGCACCTCGAAACACTGCCGCATGATCATTAGGAAAAGGAGGATCTGCTCTGCTCTGACGGGAAGAATTAGTTCTGTGAGCTGTCTCGATTAAGGCACCGTTGAAATTTTGGAGGTAGATGCTGCTGATGTTAGCCTGGGCTCACCATTGTCAAGCACATTGCTTGGAATGATCTTTCTGTCATTCCCACGCACATTCTTACGATTGCAGCTGTCAGTTGTGTTACTTTCGTCCAGTTACAATCATGATGATGCAAAGCGTGAGCTGCTATGATTTTTCCGTACCAGCCGCAGTTCTAACTGATACGATGTGCTTGCTCTAGCGTCTGCATGAAGAGATGCCGAGGCGTCGCTACCAGGGCAACGAGTCCTTCAGTCTCTGGGTGGCTGGATCATTGTTGAGCAGCACTGTTTTTTTTTACTAAAGCTCCGGGGGGGGATGAAGCAAGATGATGGTGTTTCATTCATGTTATGTCAAAAACTTGGCCAGGGTCTACGACAAAGTCATGATGCGTTCAAAGAGCCTGCAGAGAGAGGCGTTTGAGTCCGCAGAAGCGTCCAGCTAATGATGCTTCCCCGAATGATGCAGTACATACCATAGCAACCTCAACATCCTAAACCCTAACCCTTGATCCCAAACCCCCAAACCCTAGAACCCAGACCCTGACCCGCAAAAACAGATCTTAGATTAAAGACCCGAAGTTCTACCGATTTGATAGGCGCATCTTAACCCAGTGGCGGCACAGGTGAATGTCACCCTCAGGGCTTCTGGCAGCTTCCGGCTCTGTTGGGGCTCCTGGTGAGTTTGATTTCCTTGTGCTTTTTCAATACTTAGTAGCAATGCTTAGTGGGCGTCTTCCGAGGCTTGGGGCTCTCAGTTTGAGAGATTGATTAGGGTTCGTGGCTGTAAAGTCTTGAAGGCAGGATGCTGCCGGTCAAAATTGGTAGCATAGTAGGTTGGGCGGCAATCTCACATTGCGGGGCAAATATTCAAGATTCCGGCGCGATGCGAGATATTGCCAGACGTTTGCTTCTCAGGCTCAGCCCAGTGCAGCAGAAACTCACTCTCCTCCACCAGTGCATAGAACACGTCCATGGCCTTGTTGTGGGAAAATGGGATGTCCTAATTTCATTGTGACGCTATACTAATTCAGTTTCACTGTGCTGCTTCCAGCAAGTGCCGACCACGATTGGGAAGTTCTGTGAGACTTATAGGGCAATATAGAGCGAACTTACTCGACCTCACCCTTAATGGTGATTTATAGGGAGCAGTATCAAGATGACCTTAAATTGGGAATTGAAATTATTCTAAACTAGGGTGACTTAAGGGTCACAGGAGGGTCTGAGCCTCCCTCTATGAAAGTGTGTGGCAGCTGGTGCCCTGCATAGGGCTCAGCAAGTTATTATTGTTATCATAATTCTTTAATTAATGATATTATTGCTATTATGACTATTGTTATTATTGTTTGTTGTATTATTGTTATCATTATTGGTATTGTTGATATTTTGACTATTGCTATTATTATCATTCGTATTATATTTATTATTGATATTATTGTTATTATTATGACTATTATCACTGTTGATATCGTTGTTATTATTACCATGTCATTGGCTGAGGCTGGTGCCAGGGTGCCAAAGCGAATGGCACCCTCATGCGTTGCGAATTCGGTGAGGACGAAAACTTGTTTCCGCGCGTCGAGAGAAGGGGTTTGGAATACTTTGGAGTAGCAAGCGTAACATCAGACCTCCTACGTCATGTTGGCACCTTCCGGGCCTTTTTTTTTCTTATGGATGCTTAGATGGTGGTGCTCAGACTTTGGGCGCTAAAGGTCGATAGAGGCCTTCCGTTTACACACGAAGCTGATGCAGCGAAAAACTTGAGTTCTCTAGTTTCGAGGCGTCATGGCAGGGGTTGCCTTGCAAGTTCGAAGTTTTTCAGACCCACGATGGCGAACGTACTTCCGACAGCAGAACATCCAATTCTCGAACTTCAGGAGGTCGCCCATGTGGTATGCTTCCTGATTCGAAGCCACTAGCATTGTTCCCAGCATCAATTTTGAAAGCTCTTTGGCGTGCTAGCTATCGACGTGATCTACGAGAGCTTTTCGTTTAGCCTTGAAGCAACACGCAGTTAGATTCTCACGTGCCATTTTGCATAAAAGCATGGCAAGGACTTCCGAGTGGAGGCTGCTCGCATCAATATTCGAGGCACTTGCCGTGGGTCCTTATTGAGCACATGGAAGCTATACTCCATCAAAATCGATCTCAAACATGCGATTAGACGGTATTGTCAGCTCTTTTGCGCTAATCACGTAAAGCTTTTCCAAAAGATTGTTGATTTCTTGTGCCGCGGCGAATGTTTGCATGTCTGGGCTGGTTGATAATGTCGTTCTGGGAGTTTTTTTGATAAATGATGCTAGGTCTCTGGATATGAGATGCACATCATTATCCTGTATGTGCACTGGTTGCGCCATTGCATGTGCAGGTTCCGCAATTGCATGTGCAGTCCGAAAAATGAGTCGGATGTTTGTATATATCCTGGCCACAGGTCTAATTCGGACCAGCATAGCAGCTGTTTGTGGGCAGGCCCTATTCAGTACGTGGGAAATATCCGGCTTGGCGGCTACGAGGACGTTTTGAGATGCAAATGCCTGAATGCCTGAGTGCTGATTATGCAAGAGGAGGTTGGAAGTTCTACAGCCTTTGCATCCGTGTTGCGGGGGCGGAGGTGAGCTGGGTTCGGAATTCAAGATTGTGGGGGCTGGGTGGGGGTCACATGTGGCTGTGCAGAGTCCTATCAGCTGGAAAGCCAAGAGCCGAGACGGCAATCAAAGCAGCAGCGGCAGCGACGTTGGTTTTGTTGTGGCTGCGGCTGCAGCATGCCAAGGAGTAGTACAAGGAAGAGAAGGAGCAGTAGGAGAAACTGAAATTAGTAGCAGCAGCAGAAGAAGCAGAAGCAGCAGCAGCTGCCGCTGTTGCAGTAGCAAAAGCAGCGGCGGCAGCGGGTCATCCCAGCTGCAGGTGCTTGACCGCAACAGCTGCGCCGGTAGCCGACATGAGACTCATCACACCGAGACCTATGCCCGGAATTCTGCGTACCCTCCGGAGGAGATCACAGTGAAAGGTGGCCAGATGGCTGGCTTCAGCAACTTGCCTCAGTCACATCTGAAGCGTTTCGCGTACCTTTCCGTAGGCGTCAGGTTCTCATTCTAGCCGCTAGCCTGGTTCAAGTTGCTTGTGCCATGTGTTGAGGGTAACTTCTAATTTCTGCACTGTTCGAACCCGCTTTTCCGATCTCTGCGCCTTTCCTCAGCTAAAAAGGAGTAAAACAGTTTGGCGAGGAGTACTGCAAAGCAGCGCTGACCACGTGCTAGGTTTTCAGGAATTGCTGCGTGAAGCCCTGGAACTTGGAATCACCTGCAGGTTCCAGTGATCGCATTCGACTTGTAGACGCAGCAACCGTGCAGTGTGGCAGCACAGAAGCTCAGGCGGGACATTGCTTGAGTTGACAGGTTTGCATTTTCCAGCGTAACATGCGGGACAACAGCCATGTTCTTCCATTGCCGGACCTTTGCAATCAATACCTCAATCTCTAACACACTATCTTTTTGCGAATGAAGACCTCGGCGCAAGTTTCTTAGATGTGCTGCAGAAGGCTGATGAGCCGTCAACATCTCGTGTTGCGAGGAAAATCCATGTCATCAGGATTTGTTCGCTGCGGCTTTTCATGGAAGACACTGTGCTACCACTTGTAGCTCTCACAATACCCACGCCGTGACTGTTTCAGTCGAAAGGGAACGTTCTTTTGTGGTTGACGTGTTTGTCCTTGACTGACGGGCCCTTTTCATATGCCCGATTTTCAAAGTAAAGCACAGTTTGGAGGTTTTCCGACGCTCTACACGCGCCAGCCCAGACAAGAATCGATAAAGCTAGAGTCCAAGGTCAACACAGCACGCAGGGGTCATAGTTCGAGTTGCAAAAGGCGGGGAGTTGCGCAGAAGAATCAACAGCGACAAAAACCATGCTGCGCCTTTGCATGAAGTGCGTGTGGCTAGTCCAGGAAATTCCCATGGTGTTGTTCTGCAACGCCCACTAAATTCACCAAATCGCTGAAATTCCTATTCGGGACCCCAAACCTAGTAAGCATTCCCTCCGTGCCAGTCCTTCAGCAACTCAATCGAGAACGAGCATGAAGACCTTGTGTTGGAGTCTGAGCCATCCACTCCACTCACGTGGGGTGCTCTTTTGAATGACGGGTTTTTCGGGCTTTTACAGTTCAGCGCTTTTTGTTTTTTTTTATGCTTCGTTCATTTTGGGAAACCCATGCGGAAATTCGAAGGTGCAACAGCATTGAGGTCTTCTTGTTAGGGCGCTAGCCGCTAGAAGTTACAGAGAGCATCCCAAATTGAGGATCCTTCCCTTTTTTCCAGAAGACCCTGAGGCCTGCGGGAGCCCCACACCGCATCACCGCCGAGTCGGTGACCTGGACTAGGGTCAAGGCAGGATATCTGCAGCAACCCAAAGCATCCTCAAGCCACAACTTCTGGAGCACTTCAAGCCGGATGTTTTGGTCTTGGTTTTTGGGACCATTAAACTCAGCCGGAAGAGGCATCTCAGGCATCTCAGGGAGCATTGGCTCAGTACGATTCTTGGGAATTGAGTTCTGAGGTGCTCTTGCGGAAAGATCTTTGTCTGATCGCCTGAAACTGTCGGATGCCAGCTCTTGAACCGTATCCTTCATCCAGAAATCTGAAGCTTAAGGGCGGCTTTCATAGCGCATGGCGGTCATAAAAAGGGCGGTTTTCTTTACAGCATCCTAAGCCGACGGGGAGGAGCTAGCCTGATGAATCCTTACCTCCAAATCTTCTTCTATGTGAAAAACGATGAAATCCTCTTTACCAGTTTGCACGGCTATCTTAACAGGAACTTCAAGCAAAGTAGATGGGCTCGCTGGCAGGTGCGTACCAGCCATCATCTTCGCGTTTGCTGGTGCGGTACACCTGAGGGCTGCCGCTTCCTTGGAGGGATCTGGGACTTGTCTCGAAATAATCCCTACAAACTCCCTAATCGGGATGCCCAGAACTCCCTTGTGTTCTCCACATATCTCCGCATATTTCTAGATTGCTAACAAGTATTTTGTTTTGCGAAGCCCTTCTTGTTTTGGCAGGACATGGCAAGACTTGGGCTAGCAGGTCTGAGGTTGTGCTTGCGGGCATGACTCCCGTATTGCGCTCGTAGATGGATTTGTGGCCTACTGCCACTGTCTTTTCATTACCGAGGGATGCTACAGCCCAGAGCAGCCAGGAGAGCTTGCATCTACAGAGCTCTGCATTGTGTATGGACAGATTGTCGGCGGAACGGTCTTTAAACATTAGTTTTAAGCTTGGCTTGAGTGTCATTGTTGGCTCTAGCCGACTTACCCCAGTAGTACTTCACATGTTGTATCCCAAGACGTCCTAAGCCCTCGATCCATCATATCTCTGCGGTCCTGTCTGTGAACCATGATGAACGCTTCTGGCCTGCTTGAGGCAGCAGTGGAGAGGACTTCGTTGCCAGTTCCCCAGCTTTTGAAAAGGCCCTGGCCAACCTGTTTGGGCGACGTGCCAGGATGCTCCGGCCTCTGAAGGTAGGCTGCCACGAAGTGCCATGAGCTGTCTCAAGTTGCGCATCAAGCTGGGATTGCTTGTTTGTGGCCATCACTGAACTCTGAGCCCATGGTTTCTTCTAGCGTACAAGCCTGATGCCCACCACATCAAGTCTCATGGCCCTCAACCCGACAGTCCTGATCAGCCTCAGATTGATGCGGCGCTGGTCGCTCCTCTGGGCCCTACCACGCATCCCAGACAGATCTTGGAGGCGCAGCCTTCTGCTGCTCCCACGCAAAGCTTCCTCACGTTGAGAAGTCGTGGGCTTTCCTCTCACATGGATTGCCCATGGATAGTAGTTTCTATGTAGCATCGCTCAGTACCCGCCAGCAAGGAATGGGTGTGCTGACTTGAGGACCACTTCGTACTTTCAAGCTGTGATTTTGCACGGTCTCAATTGAATTCCTGGAAGATTTCAGTATAGCGTGACGGCAGCAGGCAGGTGTTGGACGCACGTTGTGTTCCCCATCACCTGTGACCCGTCATGCGCACCTTCACATCACAGTTGCTGGGCGCATGGAGTGAAGAGCGCACTTTTCTAAAATCTCGACTTCGCTGGCGCTCCGACTGTGGCTCACAGCTGAATACTTTCCTTTCCTCTATAGCTGCTGAGAAAGCGCTTTGCATTTTCGTGGGGGCCGGAGAACTGCGGTTCCCCTTCTACTGCCATGCTTCAGCTCCTTGCTCTTGTGGCCTTCGGCGCTGTGCGTGCCGAGCTTGGCGAGCTTGCGGCGGGCGGCTGAGCGTGGTGGGCCCTAAGCTTGATGCCAAGGCTTCTCTTCCCAGCCTGCGAAACCCAGGCGGATGACGAGTGCACTACTGACGGCTGCGCGCTTTCAGCACTTCACCTCCGCAGCTCCAAGCGCAGCGAAATGACGGCCCAGGACTGTGTTTTTTTTGTGCAGGCCCACTCTTGGGCAGTGCTCTCTAAGCAGCCACTTTGTCAAGCTTCTGCAAGGAGGAATCTGCCGTCGACACGGGGTGCCATGACATTCGGGAAGGAGCCATTGTACATCTGCCAGCCAGAAGCTATTGGTCACAGTTTACTCCTTGCATTCCCGGCTGCACAATCCGAGTTCAGGAGAGGGCGGTGCATGCTGGGAGGCCGCTTGGTCAGCACGAGACCGGTGTGCTTGCAGTAAGGATTCCGCCTCGATACAGCAGTACAGCTTGCAAGCGTTTTCGTATTCTAGAGTTCGGACTGCGAGTATATGGATGTGATCATGCGCAAAACAAAAGCTAATGCAGTGCATAGCTTTGGCGAGTCTTGTTATATGCTGAGACTTTGAGTGCTTGCGCTGACAAGGCCATCATGTGGGGCAAGAATGTTGGCATGCCGCAGCATCCGGATTGGTATCCGGGGATGACAGAGGACTCCCCTCTGTCAGAGTGGCAGTTCAAGGCATGGAACACAACGTGCTTGGGAAGCAAGGTCAGAGAGTCCTTCTTATGACCGTAATGCAGAGAGAAAACTCTGACAGCAAAAGGTTTCGATGGGCATCCATGAAAACCCAAGACCAAGTTCGGGAGTCCGGGAGTGGTTAGCTTGAGGAAGCGACCCGGACAACGAGCCTTGGCCATCAACTGAGGCATCCCAAGTGCCCTCGGCCCTGCAGTGTGCCTGCGCCCGTCCCCTGGCGGCACGGTACTCTGTGAGTTCCCAAGTCGGGGTGCAACACTCATACAAGTGCCACGAGAGATGTCATACGCAATGCAGTTCAGCGCTCTCCTTCCTCCCTCCTTTCTCCCCAAGTCATATAAAGCCTATTGCATGCATCACTTGAATCCTGAAATGAAGGGTTGAAAAGGCTCAGGTTCAAAAGTGATCGTATGACTCATGTCCATCCTCTCCTGACCACCTGGCCACGGAAGACCTAAAACCTAATCTCCAGGCTGCAAAGCCTCGTAGTGACGCTAACTGGCCATAAGCAGCATACAGCTAGCTCCTCGGAGTTTGCGAGTTCTTGTTCACCAATCTGGTCCCCTGACCTGAACTTTGAGACCACATGGTCCTACATTGCGGAGATTTAGTCGCGCGGATTGGAGGCCCAACCCCAAACCCCTTCCACCCCCTCATCATGACCTACCATCAGGAACATCTCCGATTTCTGATTATGGTGGTGGGGATTGCTCCCCTTGATCTGAAGCTCCCCCCGTTCCCCCCGCCTGAGACCGTTTCTTGTAAACACAATGGTTTCTGGCACATTTTCTTATGGAGGAGTGACGGCTACTATATGATGGTTTCTTTCTTACGTGCTGCAAGCGATCTAGCTTTCGCCCGCACTGTTCTCAAGTCTTCAAATGTTTCCGCAACAGAGCCAGAACAATAATTATGATTGTAGCAAAGGTACAAGAACAATACTGCAAGCATGTTGTATCACTTTCGTAGTACTGCCGATTATTGGAATGGTGGTGATGATGGCTGTGAACATAATAGTGATGATGGAGGTCGTTGTGGTGATGGTGGGCGGCGGCGGCAGTGGTGATGGTGGTTGCGGTGGTGGTAGGCGGTGTCGGTGGTCGTGGATGTGGCCGTGGCGGGGATGGTGGCAGTGACGGTGGCGGCGCTGGTGGCGGTGCCGGCGCTGGTGGCGATGGCGGTCGCGGTAGCGGTGCTGCTGGTGGTGGCAGTGGCGGCGGCGGTTGTGGTGGTGGTTTTAGCTTAACGTCGTTGTCATCATAGTTTTGTTGTACATAGTAGTGGGGACAGCATCTCTGATGTCGAAAGTCTATTCAGGGCGGATGCGTGAACGTCCCGGCCCCTAAGCTCTGGAAGCCAGCGGCGGCCGGGGGCAACCTTGAGATCAAGGCCGAGCTTTCCAGGATAGCATCATGATCATTTTCGTGGGCACAAGGATTTCATGGGGATTGGAGTTGTCTACGGACAGGGTACTCGTGGAGGGTTGTTTCGGAGTTGTCATGCGAGGGTTTTTCATCACGGAAGGCTCCTGTATCACACACGTCAGAATCAACCCTGCAGTGCCACTCCTGTTTGGCCCAAGTGCGCAGAACCTGGCTTAGTTTATCGCAGTCTTTCTGGGAATGCCAAAGCCAGATCATGTTCGTGAACCTGAGTGGGTGGTGAGAGTGGCACGCATTGCCTACGAACCCTAAATCCATGCACACGGATCCTTTGAGAGCATTGGGTCTCAACAGCCCACATCCATTCCCTGTGCAACCGTCAAGCTGCAAAGCCTACCTACATTGGAAACAGTCAAGTCTGTTCCGCAGAGAATGCAGGCAGTCCCTTGAAGCAATTACGAGTTGTAGCATCAGTCTTTTCAAAACTGATGGGTGCTACTGGAGCTGCTCATGTAAGGTGTTTTGGGTGGCATGTTGAGGTTCAAGCTTTGACGGATTCGGAGTTGAAAGATTGGAGTGTAGCTGTTGGACATCAAGTTTCATTCCTTGTTGTTTTGTTGGTGACATTGCCAATGGCATGTTGCGAAGTTTTGACAGGTGGTTTTGTCAATTTCAGTTTGAGAAGTCCGTTCTGCCCTGACGGCTATGTCAACGGCACAGGCGCAGTACTCAATTCTTGTTCTTGCAGCTCTGAACAAGGCGCCCCACTTGGGTAATTTGATTATGAAATTGCCTTGGCCTGGCTTTTTGACAAACGATGCAATCAGCAGATGTTAGTTCACTCACCTGACAAGGTTTTGTCCTACAACCTCTTCTGGTGGCACCTCTTCAAGGCCTTAGCAATGCACGGACATGCAGCTGCACTTGCACTCGTCCGTTTCGAAATGATTCAGGAATATTTAGGGCCTGGCGGCAGGTGCCGGCCTGGCCGCTGCCCCCCTTGCCCAGCCAGCGAAAGCCAAGCCCGCCCCAGCCCCGCTGATGCTCCTGGTTGAGAGAAATGTACGAAACAGTTATGTTGTTGCTACCTGGGAAGTTTTTTTTAGGCTTTGAAGGTCCTGTTCTCTCTAGTTAAACTGAAAGCGGCCCAAATGGGGTCCCAATTGTGCTGATGATGTTCCTGTACGCGCGCGCCTCGTACAGGAACATCAGCTGCGCAATTGGGACCCCATTTTGGCTTGATTGGGACCAGGAGGGGTCAAAAATCCAAGAAAAACCATCAAAGATAACTTCAGACATGTTTCTCTGTGCAGGTGCATTTTTTTTGCAAATCAGCTGCCAAGAGCATCCACATTTCACGCATTGGACAAGCTTAGGAGCCACAAAAGTGCTGGAAATATGGGCAAACACCCACACACCGCCAAAAACCATGCAACATGCAACATTTTGTAGGGTTTTGGCCTGGGCAATGCGCGCCAAACCTGTCTCATGCGCGTCATACAGTGCAGATCCTACCAACACTAGTATTTACAGCCACAAACACTGCCCCCAGTGTGTATTTTGAGCGTTTTGTTGGGGTTTATAGCGCATTTTAAGCGCCCTGCAGCCCCAAGAGCCAGCATCATGAGCA